CACCCGCCCGCCCGCCTGCCTTCCTTCCGTGGTTCATATTAAACCCAGGGCCCTGCCCATGTTAGGCAAGTGCTCTGCTACTGAGTTCCATCCGCATCTCACAAGTTCAAACTTCTGCCATCCACCATGGAAGTCCTGGACGCAGGCCAGGCATTTCTCAATGCAGAAGAAACATGAGTTTTAAAACTCTGCTCACATGTATTCCCACCTACCGGGAAGGCTGAGGCAGGAGGATTACAAATTCGGGTCGACCTAGCCAATTTAGCAAGGCTCCCCTTTCAAGAGAAAATAAAAACAGGGCTCTCAGAGATGCAGCTTTGTGGTAGAGCACTTGCCTACCAAGGCGTGAGGACCTGGGTTCAACCCTTAGTAGCAAAAAAAAAAAAAAGTTACATTCTGCCTGAGAAGCGGGGAGTCCCTGAGCCTTCCCACTCTGTGTAGCAGGAGGTTTGTGCTCTGAAAAAGCTCAGTGAGCCCAGGCACAAGAATGCTGAGAAGCGCCCCAAATCTAGCTTAGCGAGGGGGAGCTCCTCCCATCCCCCATGGCACCCGCGCCTCGTCTGCCACTAACCCTGAGCCCTGGCCCCGCCCATGCTGTCTGGTTCCTAATCCTGTCTTACTCTCTCTGGAAGCCTTTAGGATTCCCCTTTGTCCTGTTCACTTCGAAACTCCTTGGTCCTTCCGTGCATCCCAACAGAACACAGGGATTCTGGGAGGGCAGAGGTTTAGCTTCATTTCTGCGGCATCCCTGGTGCCTAGAGCAGTGCTTCCAGCACGCAGCAAGCTCCCAAGCATCACTGGATGGGCGACTTCCTCCGCCACTGAAGGGGCCCCATGGACGCTGCCCGTGCGGCAGGTTTCGCAGTGTGGGTTTGATCTCCCGGCCGTTTTATTGGCCAGGGCTCCAAGCATCACACTTGGCTTACCTCACATGCAGTCTTTCTGCGGAGTGGTAGTGTGTCTTCTGACTAAACTCAACAAAACTCACTGCACAGACGCTTGATTGCATTTACTAGTCTCTTTCATTTTACGTCCGCTTGTGTGTCAAAAGTAAATTAAATGCCAGGCACGGTGGTGCACGCCTGTAATCCCAGCACTTGGGAGGCTGAGGCAGGAGGATCATTGGGAGTTTGAGGGCAGCCTGAACTGCAGTGAGACTGTCACAAAAAGAACCCCCCAAAAAATAGTGAATTAAATCCCTTTGACTACACTCACTATGTGCCCTAGAGTAACTGTTTTTTTCTTTTT